GTTGCCGACGGCGTGGTAAGCCTGCGGGAGGGGGAGCGGGGGGGGTCAGCCCAGACCCTGGGGGCCGCATCCTGCGCTGAGCGTCCCCCCCCGGTCCCGAGCCACTGCAGCTGCCGCGAGGGAGGGGACCGGCACCCACCAGGTAGGCAGCGATGCCGGCGCCGATCAGGAAGCCCACGTAGACGTCAGCGGGGTGGCTGCGGTACTGGGTGATCTGGGTCAGGCCGCAGATGCCGGCGGCGATGGCAAAGGCGAAGACCAGGATGGGCTTGAGGAGTTTGGTGCTGTCCGAGATGATGGAGTTGAAATACATCTGGTGGTGGCGGTGGGGCAGGAAGAGGCTGTTAGTCGCGGCTTGTGGCACCAGTACCCGCTGCCATCACGGCACCGCAGCCTCCCCCCCCGCCAGGCTCCTGGGTGCACGTGGAACTGGAAGTGCCTGGGCGTGCACGAGTAGGAAGCTGCGCACGCACCCACGCCCCAACACGGGCACACGCGTGTCGGGCAGAGCTTGTCTGTGCACGGGGGGTGCGTGTGCCGACGGGCGAGGGATGCTGCTGCCCGGCAGCGCTCGTGCCATCCCCGCGCCGGCACACACCGGGCCGAGAGCCGGGCAGCACCGGGGACTCACCGAGACGTAGACGGCAGCGAAAGCTGAGAGCGTCGCATGCTGGGACGGGAAAGTCTTCCTGGGGGGGAGACGGGAGCACGCGGTTGGGACGGGGTGGGAGGGTTTGGTGTTGCGGCGCACGTCTCACCCCCGGCACGTACCTGGCGGAGAGGATGGCGTGCTTGTCCACACCCGAGCAGATGTCCTGGGTGATGTAGGGGTTGGCGTCGCATGGGGTGCCCAGCAGCGTGTAGTTGGGCTTGCAGACGGTCAGGAAGAAGGGCGCGTGGTAGCCGGTGGCCAGCTGGATAACGTCGGTCACCAGCGCCGTGGCACAGAGCCCGAACACGTGGACACCTGGGGGTGGCAGGAGCAGGACAGCAGGTCACCCCCCCCCATCCCACAGGCGCTGGGAAGGGTCCAGCGTGGTCCCTGGGGTCTGGGTGGGGCCGTGTGCTCCTGCTGTCGCATCTGGGGTGCCCCCAGGTCCCCTCCAGCCCCTTCTCGGACCAGCCCAACAGCGGGCAGGGCTCCTGCCCGGGCTGCGGCACAACGTACCCACAAACCTTACGGTCCGGCGCAGGAAGGAGTTGAAGTTGCAGCCACCGGCGTTAATGCTGCCCTCGGCACCGGCACGTCCCTTCAGCCTGGACTGCAGGCAGTACACGATGCCCTCCCCGACCATGATCTGGGAAGGAACTGGCGGCTCAGGGGGTGCTGCCCCCGCGGGGATTGGGGGGTTGGGGCTGTTGGCGGGGCACTGCCAGGCTCCCCGCACCGGTCCCCTGGTGCTGCTGGCACCGGGACCCCAAGCCCTGGCCCCCAGCCTGTCGCTGGCGCTGGGCAGGCTCTATCCCCGGCAGCCCTGGGACGCACCGAGGCGGCGGGCGCGGCGAAGGCCAAGCTGAGCAGCATGAGCAGCGGGATGAGCTCCTCGTTGGTCTCCACGTAGGGCATGGAGAGCGCCCGGTCGTAGCACTGGAAGCCCACCTTGGCCGGCTTGAACAGGTCGGTCAGCTCCAGGAAGTAAAGAGTCACGATGGAGGAGGCCACGATGGGCAGCTGGGGAGGGCGCGAGAGTGTCGGGACCACCGCGCCGCCCGGCACGAGGGGCACCGGCATCGCGCAGCCCCGCTGGGAAGGGGCAAAGCCCCTGGCCCCTCCATGCCAGGGCAGGACCAGGGCCCGGGGAAGGGCCCCCCCGGCTCAGCCCCCCTTGACCCCACACCCACCTCCACGAAGTAGAAGCAGGGCAGAAGCGTCATGCTGTCCTTGGGGGCCCTGGCCTTCTCCTTGGGGGGGATCATGGTCCTGGGGCAGGCGCCGGGGTCCCGCTGGGTTGTGCCTCTGCCCTGCTGTGGGGCAGCAGCATCACCCCTGGGTCTCGGCCCTGCGGGGGGGCTGGGCAGCCCCTGGGGTCACCCCGCTGCCCGCCCGCAGCCACTCGCCGGGGAGAAGCTGCCGGTAGCCGGGGGCTGCCCCCGCCGGGACCCCCCCGGGCATCACCGTGGGGCCAAAGCAGGGGCTGTCCCCACTCCCTCCCAGGGGACCCCCCAGCACCTCAGGGGGGTCCGGCCGAGCCGGGGGCTGTGACAACAGGTGGGGCGGAGGCCCTGCTGTCGCGACAGGCGGCCACTACCGCGACAGGCGGCGAGGCTACTGCGGAGGACGTGGGGAGGGGGTGTGCTGCCCGCAGAGCCAAGGGTGGGGGTCCCCGCGCAACCCCCGGCCCCAGCCCCCCGAAACTGCCACCGAGCCCTGGCTGCAAAAAAGGCGGGGGGGGGGGTAACGGGGATGGAGCAACGGGGTGGGGGTGGGGGCAGTAGCCGGGGGGGAGCAATAACGGGGGGGCAGTAACGGGGAGGGATTAACGGGGGGGGCAGCACGGGGCTCTCCCCGCGGGAGGGGCCGGGGGGGGGTGGGGGCCGCTCCCGGTGGTGCCGCAGCCGCGGGCGGGGGTCGGGGCCGGGGGGGGGCGGGGAGCGGCCCTTTGTGCAGCCGCGGCCCCCGCCCCCCACTCACCTCTGCTGCGGCCGCCCGGGGCCGGGGGGGGCCGGGGAGGCGGCGGGGGCGGCGGCCGCGGGGGTCCCCAGGAGCGGGGATGCTCCTGCCTCGGCGGAGCGCGGGGAGCGGCGGCTTCCTCCGCCCCCGCCACCTCCTCCTCCTCCTCCTCCTCCTCACCACCGCCCCCCGCCCCGCCCCGCCGCTCCCGGCCCCTCCCGGGGCGCTGAGACCCCCGCCCGGGGCCCGCGGAGCCGGGGATGGGGACCTGGGGGGGCCGGGGTCGAGACAAAGGGCCGGGCGGGGGCGGGGGCAGCGAGCGAGTTCGGCCCCCCCCCGCGCCGCCCTGCACCCCCGAAAGCTGCTCTGCACCTCGGACTCTGCACCCCCAAAAGCTCCCCTGCACCCCCGGTTCTGCAGCAGGCACCGGGGGGGGGTGTCCTAAGGCCCCCCCGGGGCTCCCTCCTCCCCCAGCCACGCCCGGATCAGCCCTTTCCCTCCCTGCACTGCCGGGGGTGGGGGTCGCACCCCCCCCCCCGGGACCCTCCTGCCCTGCCAAGCCCCCTCCCCCGCCGAGCTTCCCCTCGCCCTCGGGCTGAGGTGACCCGAGGGCTGCCAAGCCGGGACTCCCACAGCATGGGGGTGCGTGACCCCCAAACCCACCCGCCCTAAACTCCACCAGCCCCCAGCACCCACCTGGGCTCTGCGGGCCGGAGGGCACCCACCCTCCCCATGGGCACCGCCACGTCTCGGGGGCCTCAGGGGTGACTGGGGTGAGGGGGTGGGGGGGTGAACCCCTTCCCCGCGCTCACGAGGCCGGTGCCAGAGTCTGAGGCCAACCTCAGCTGGAGTCTCTCCAAATTCAGGGCTGGGGAAGTGGGTGCAACCCCCTTTGCTCTCCCAGGGACTTCCAGCACCTCTCGGATGAGGACGAGGTGCCCCGACCCTGTGCCCCCCACCTTTGCTGCTCCACACTTGCAGGGGATCCCAGTCCCGACCGAGCCCTACCCCACACCCCGTACCCCATACCCCATACCCCATGGCCTGCGCCCTTGCACCCCACGCCCAGCTGCCGCCTCCCCCCCCCCCCCCGCCCACCCACTCACGGTCCCATCCAGGCTCTGTGTAGCCCCACGCCACGGCACCGGCCACCACACGCTGCCCTTGTTCCATTTTTGGCCCTAAGTGGGCAGAAATCTCCCCGCGTATTTAACATCTAAATCCCGAATCCCTGGAAGCCGCGATTAAGCCGCTGTCCCTGTGGAAAATCCCCGGTTTGAGCCAGACTCAGCCGCCTCCGCTCCCGCCTGTGTCCGGGCTCTTCCCGCCACGCGCTGCCCAACACCTGGGGGGGAGCAGGAGGCCGAAGCCGCCCCCGCAGAGGGACCCCCACGCCCCTGGGACCCCTCGTCCCCTGCTCCCCAGCACCCGCCTCACTGGGGTGCGAGTGGATCTGGGGGTGCTGGGGGCCGGGAGGCCGATGGCTCGGGGTGGTGGGATGTCTGTGCAACCAGGCGAAGGGAACCCGGCAATTTTGAGCTGTAAAGGCTCATGGTGCGTGAGGAAGAGGAGGAGGAGGGTGGGCTTTGGCCCTTGCCCAGTTTCCCCTGTCTCCCCGCTCGGTCCCGGCCGTGCTGGGGGGAGCACGGGCATCGGCGGTGACCCCGGCCCCAAATGGGCAGGGAGCGATGCCCGGCCCCGACCCCCAGACCCCCCGACCCCGGTCCCCGGAGCCCGCCGGGCCCTGGCGCTGGGTCTCGCCGAGGAGCAGACCCGCGGCGGGGTGAGGGGCGCGGGGGCGACGGGCGGCTCCGGAGCTCAGGGCCACGGAGAGACCGGCCGGGAACCGGGACGGTGGCTCCGCTTAGTGGCACCGGGGAGAAAAGCAGAGGGGACTGGGGCTGCCACCGCCACCCCTGCCACCGCCATCACTATCCCCGCCACCCCCCGGCCCCCCCTGGAGCTCCCCCTCGGGGCGGGGGGCTCCTCCCGGGGACCCCCGCCAGGTGCTGGCGGTCCCGACCCCGCTGTCCTCGTCCTCGCCAGCCCCAAGGACAAACCCACGGGGGATGCTCAGCCCCGCTCCGCGGCACCCAGCACCCACCGCCAGGCAGCCGGGGGGGGGTCCCTGGTCCGGGGGGGGGGGGCCGGGGCCAGGCCCGGACACGCCACACGTGCCGGAGCCTTCACGTGCTGGGAGTCGGATTCGGTTTCAGCTTTGAAAACAACAGCGCAGAAATCCCCCGCGGTGGGTGCCAGGTCCGGCAGCTGGGACAGGCTGTTTCCTCCCTCCCGCGTTGTTTGTGCCGGGAACTCTTGACCCCTTTTATAAGCTGAATATTTAAAAACACACGGCCCACGCTGCGGAAATCCCGCTCCGCTCCCCTTGTGCTGTCCCTTCCTGCCCCCCCGCCGCCCCAAAGCTGGACATAAAAGCGAGACCCATCCTCGGTCCCGGCTGAGCAGCGTCCGCCCTGCAGAACCCACGCACCCCACGGCCGGGCTCCACTGCAGCCATGGGGCCGAGTCCCGCTCCCGTCCTCATCCTCGCTCTGCTGCTGCTGCTGGGGGGCACAGTGAACGGTGAGTGCACCCCCCCTGCACCCCAGGACAGAGACGGGCTGGGACAGCGATGTCCCCAGCACGGGGGTCTCCCGCCCCGCCCAGCCCCTCCCCGATTCCTGCCTCTCTCTGCAGCCAGGTGCTGCTGTGGCCCGTGGGGAGGGGTCCCCCGTGGGGGGCCCGGGGCGATGCCCAGCTAACCCAGCTTCCCTCCCGCCTGCAACAGGGCAGCCCCGGGGACGGATCCTGGGGGGCTACGAGGCCAAGCCCCACCTGAGGCCGTACATGGCCTCGCTGCAGCTGGACGGGCAGCACGTCTGCGGGGGCTTCCTCATCGCCGAGCAGTGGGTGCTGAGCGCCGCACACTGCACTGAGGAGACGTGAGTGCCCGGGGGGGTGGTGTCAGCGCGGGGGCTGTTCCGTGCTGGGAGGTGGCTGCTGGCCTCGGGCCAAATCCTGCTCCGTAGCCCCAACCCCAGCATCGGAGCACCAGGGCTCAGCTCCCGCCTGTGGTGAGGGTTGGGCAGGGGCTGCAGGACCCCCTGGAGCTCCTGGCACCGCAGGGGCAGCTGCCTGGAACCCCACGACACCCCCAGCTCTGCATGCCCCACGGGTGGGCCGAGCCCCACGCGCTGCCTCTCCTTCAGGGACGGCAAAGTCTTCCAGGTCCTGCTGGGCGCCCACTCGCTCACGGAGCCGGAGCCCCACAAACGCCTGTACCGGGTGCGTGACCAGATCCCCCACCCCGGCAGCAACATCCACAACAACAAGGACGACCTTCTCCTCCTCCAGGTGGGCTCACGGCCGCGGGGACCCCAGCTGGGACCCTCCTCCCCACCACCTGCCAGGCACAGCCCTGCTCCTGCAAATCCCTCTGCCCCTTGGGACTCTGAGGGGTCACCAACCGTGGCGGGAGGAACTCTCGAGGCCAGCCTGCTTGGTCCCCCCATCCCTCCTTCCCCGTCCCATGGGACCGTCCCCACTTCCCCCACCACACACCTTCAGGCCGTGTCCAAACGCCTCCGTTTTCTTCCTCGCGGCTCTGGCGCTGGGGTGGTCCTGGCACCAGGGCTGGGCTGGGTCCCTGGGGCCGTAGCTGGTCCCCGCTGACCCAGATCCCTTCTTGCTTTGTGGCAGCTGGAGGAGAAAGCGGAGCTGAACGCGCACGTGCAGGTGCTGCCGGTGCAGCGGGAGGACAGGGACGTGGCGGCCGACACGGTGTGCGAGGTGGCAGGTTGGGGAACCATCAACCACAGCGGCCGCCAGCCCGACACGCTCTACCAGGTGGAGCGGCCGGTGATCAGCCGCGACGTCTGCAACCACCGCACCCGCCACGACCACACCATCACCGAGAAGATGATGTGCACTGACTCCCGCAGGAAGGACACCTGCAAGGTACCGCTCGCCCCGGCCTCCTGCCGCCCCCTTTCCCGGACACAGACCCACGGCCAGACCCACGGGCTGGGGCTGCGAAGCCCCTCGGGGGTCTGGGAGTGGGGTGTGGGGGATACCTGCTGCCTGGAAGAGGGATGTGGGGCAGGATGGGGCTGCGTCCCCAGGGCGATGGGGGGCCCCTGGCTCTGTGCTGGCCGCTGCAAAGCGCCTTTGGTGAGCCTGGAGACAGGGATGAGGCCACGGGCACTACCCAGGGCGCCCCAAGGGTACCACATGCTGAGAGCACCCCCCACCTGCCCCACCACATCCTGGCAGAGCCGGGGGTCTGGGCTGTCAACAGAGCAAGGGGAGGAGCAAGGGCTGGTGGGGGAGGGCAGGACTGACCCCCACCCACAGCTTCTGCAGGTGAAACCTGGGGCTGAAGCTCTGCCCGCCCCCCGCCCCGAGCCTTGGGTCAGGGTGGGGACCCCCAGCTGTGGGGTCAGGGTGGGAGGTGGGCTGGGACGGGCCAGCCAGCCCTCAGCGTGGCTGATGAGCCTTGGTCCCGCAGGGAGATTCTGGTGGCCCCCTGGTCTGCGGCGGGGTGGCCGAGGGGGTGGTCACGGCCGGCTCCCGCGTCTGCGGCAACTACAAGAAACCGGCCATCTACACCCGCATCGCCCCGTACGTGGCCTGGATCGACAGCGTCGTGGCCTCCAAGGCTGGGGAGGGAGACGCTCACTGAGCCGCCCCCAGGGACCCCGGCTCCACGCCACGGCTTGCTGCTGCCGGCACGGCCAGAGCACCCACACTGCTGCCCAGGGGGCTCCCACCGCTCCCCCGACCCGCTCCCGCAGAGCCCCCCTGCGCCAGGAGGGCGGCTGGGTTGGGGGACTGGCGAGAAACCAGGGAAAGGGGTCCCCGGCCCCTCACTCGCACAGCACAGGACCCAGCTGGGGTGGGGGGGCTCACAGCCCTCCCCCCCAGGCTGGCGCAAGCCCCAGGCTTTGCTGACCCTGCCAGTAACGCTGACCGCGACCCGCTGCAATAAAGCGATGACGATTCCTGCAGAGCTGCCAGGACCCTGGGGGGGCTGCGCGGGAGCCCCCCGCTCAGGGGGGAGCTGGACACGAGGTGGGGTGACGCTGAGGCTGAGCCCGTGGGGAGGGTGCGGCCAGGGCCCCCGCCCCGTGCTCCCCACCACCCACACATTTGGAGGGACCCCCCCCTCCCCGCCTTGGCCCAGGGCCGAGACGCCCCAAACTCAGCTCGCCCCCAGCTCTGCCCCGCAGTGGGGTCTCCTCAAGGGGCATGTGAGCTCTGCTGACCCCCCCCCCCGGCCCCACTCCCACCCCCAGCCCCTCGGGGGGACACATCCTGCGGCAGGGCTGCGGGCGACAAGGTCCAAAGCCCGCAGGATCAGTGTGTGACTGTGTGTGAAAGCAGGACCTGCAAATGGACGATAAGGGGGAGAGTGGCACCGGCTCCCCCGGGGGGGGGGAATGGGGGGTGCGCAGGACCCACCCTGGGACCCTCCATCCCTGGAAGGGCTGAGGGTGCTGAGCCCCGAGCCGCCTACACTCAGCTTGTGGCCTGAGCTTGTTTTCGAGGGGGGCAGGGGCGAGGCAGAGCCCCCCGAGCAGGCACCGCTGCTGCCCCCACCAGCACCTTGGTCCTGGGGCCCCAGGGCCAGTGCAAGACCTTGGTGGGGGGAGCCCCTTGCCCCCCCCACAGACCGGGGTTCCCCCAGGGCAGAGGCACAAAGAACTGGGGTGAGGGGGTGGGGGGTCCAGGACCCTTCCAGCATCCCCCCATCCCCGGAGCAGGGGAGGTGGCAGGAGGAGGTCCAGGCTGAAGGCCCCTGTACCAGGAATGGGGGAAAAAGGGGGTTCTGGGCTTTAAAAGCCACTGTCCCCCTGCCCAGAGCTCGGCCAGCGGCGTGGGGCTCCCTGCTGGGGGGAGGTGAAGTGAGGGGCCACACACCCGTCCGCCCCAGAGCAGCCACCCCATCCCATCTCCCAGCAAACTGCAGCACTCAGGCATTAAATAACCCCAAACCTGTGCTCTGGGAAAAAGGAGATTAACAAGGGTCCGGGTTGATTACAGTTTTACTTACAGGGGAAAAGATCCTTAACAAGAAGTTGTAGTTTTCTAATTAGCCATTTGATTTTCGTTAATTACCAGCAGAATAGAGAGGCAGAGACCAGCTCCATAGAGCAAGGCACTAAGCAGAGCAGAGAGACAAGGTCTTTGCCATCAGCTCAGTTTTTCATAATAAATGAAAACGCAGTTCCAGAGGGAAAGGAATATGTAAAAATGGGCTTGTTCTCTCACTTAAATGGTCTCTGGGGAACGCAGTTGTCGTCTGGCCAGGCAGGAATTTGGCCAAGCCCCAGATCAGCTCCAAGCATCTCCACTGCCCTTTCTCAAAGCACACAGAGGTTTCGGTCCCATTCTGGCAAGGTGCTGAGCACCCTCAGCCTGGTTTGACCTCAGCAGATGCACCGGGCAGGTTTTCCACTGCTGTGGGCTGCCCCAGCCCCGTGCTGAGGGGCCGCAGGGCTCCCACGGGCTGGTCCTTTCCCCGCTGGGGCTTCCAACAGCCGGGCAAACCCTGAGCAACTGCCCCGAGGAGCGTCCGGAGCCTGGAAGCCCCAGTAAGCCAGCTCCATCCAGACTAGGGGGGGGAGGCGGGAGGCCTGAGGGTGACTCACGCAATTAAAAGCCCACCCTAAGAACTGAGAGACCAGGAGGGAGCAGAGCAAGCACACAGCGATAGCCCGGGTCGCCCACCTGAACACAGAAGGGCCAGGGCGACCATGGCCAGCAGCTGCGACGACGTTAGCACTGTTTGTGGGCAATTTCTAGCAGATAAAAGTGCCGAGGGAAGGGGTAGCTGAGCGCTGACGAGGGCAACCAGGGCAAAAGGTTGGTGCAATTTTCACCTGACCTTGGGAGCGGTAGAGCTGTACGCCAGGAACGCTCGTCCTCAAATGTGCCGAAGGGTCCAGCTTTGTCTGAAGCTGGACTTACAATGATAATAACCTGACAGAAGCTTGAAAACATTAATTTCCCCTTCCAGTTTTGCAGACGATGCCACTTCCTTTCCTAAGAGAGATGCAATGAACAGGGCTTTCCCCGCTTCGCTTCTGTTCGTGCATCAATGGTCCTGGCCACCCACTGCACGGCCAAAGTCACACGAAAGACCACTCGAGTTTTGAAAACAAAATAAACATTTTGTACAAAATTAAGGGAACTTTTATTTACAAAAGAGCTGCTGGTTCAGGGAGCGCCAGAGGGGTTTGCTCCAGGCAGCAACGCTCTTGCGCTCCTGCTCCTCTGGAGGGGGAAGAATTTGTTCCGTGAAAACAGAGACAGGTAGGTAGTGAAGGGTCCCAGCAGAGAGGCAACTTTACTCCAGGGATGGAGACGTGCAGGGGAACAGGGAGTAACGGGCCAGGCTGCCCTCCCCGAGCAGCCTGTCGCGAAGGATGGACAGGAGGTACCAGGTACCTGCTCACCCCCGCGGGCCCAGCCGCGCCGCCCGATCTGCCCGGCTCTCTGCCCGCCCCTGACACGGATGGGAAAACCTCTGGCAGAAAGATCCGTGCAAGAAAAGCAGCAGCACCGTGGCCGGCTGCTTGGCACTGTCTCACAGGATGAGCTGAGGGAGGAGCTGCCTTTCCTCCGGCCAGAGCACCTCCAGGGAAGGGAGCCCTGAGCAGCCCTTCTGCTCGGCGCCCGCGGTTCCCTCCGTGCCCCCCAAAGGTGGGGGGCTCAGGAGTAGCTGAGGGGCATCCTCCTCCACAGCCCCCCGCACAAGCAGTTTTTGATCCAGCGCTGCTCCCACTGTTTCACTGCTGTGACTTTGTTCGGTGATTTCAGCATCGTGACGCAGCCACACCTGGAAAGAAGCAGAGGTGCAGCCAGGGCCAGGAGACAGGAGCCCAGGGAAAAACCAGCTCCACTGGGGCGGCTGTATGGGTCATGCAGGGAGCAAGGAAGCTGAGGAGGAAACCAGCTTTTGTCATTTGAGGGGGTGTTTGTGAGCACTAAAAACCAGCTGAAACCATGCGAGCAATTATCTTAAATGAAGAGAGGTTATCTTGGAACAGAAGGCTGTCTTCAAGACAACGGCCCCCAGCTGCTATTTATACATAAAACACCAGACAGTCATCTTATAAAAAGGGTCTGCTACAGCAACTTTCTATTAAAACCAATAATTAAAGCTAATTCGATCACATGATTAGATGGATGTTTGCTCCCTGCACCATTATTTTGAAATCCAGGCTCTTTTGTGAGGGTGGATGAAGAGGACAGCTCAAAAGGACTTAAAATGCAAACCCAGTTTGAAAGACAACCCAAAAATGGCACCACAGATACTGTGATTATTTCCTCTCACCAGCTCCTCTCCAAGAACACAGGTAGTTTTATTTAAAGACCAGACCTGCAAAACTAGCTGGGGATCTCTCGTCACTAATAAAGACTCCCACAGGCCAAATTCTGGTCTCCATTTACCTGTGCAGCCTGACTATCAGATTTTCCCGTTAAGGCAATATCGTATTTATTCCATGACGCACACTTCAGCCCTTAGATGAAATGCAGTTCAGTCATGGGCAGTGACAAACATAGTTGATTCTCACAGAGCTGGGGTTACTCTATGCTGGGCAAAGCAGTAGTATTTCTAATCTAAGAACCGTGGTGCCGTGGCAGAGCAGCAGCTATCTCGAGTCAGCGACGCTGCTCTTCAGCAAGCATTTTAAGGATCTCGGTCCTTCGGGTTAGGGATGCCTTAAACACAACCACAACCGCTTTCTCCCATACATCAAAAGCCCTGTTACAGAGGCAGCATTTCCTCCCGCAGACACAATTAACATAAAATGTTACCGGGGTACCAGCTAGCATGGTAAACGGAGACTAAAAGAGCTTCTGAATGGCGAAAAGAACAGTTGGAGTTTCTGCCAAGACCTCCTCTGCACTGAAGGGATTACGCTCGCGTCGCTCACCTGGTACATGACTTGCACTCCTCTGTTGGGTACGCTCCTAAATGCAGCCGCCTCAGATGATCGATTTTGGGCTGTCCAGGCGCCCTGGGTAGGAAGAAGGGGAACTTTTCTAGAATATCACTTTCTAAAAGCTGTTTCCGGGACAGTGAGCTGCGTTTCAGTGGCCAACACAACACAGGCTTTGACTACCTAGCCCACCGAGTGCCATGGGATTCAAAGGCCACTCTGACATGACCCTAATCACAAACTAGCATTTTTTTCCCCCTCCTCCATTTCCCATCTCTTTTCAATACCCTGAACACCCAGCCCGTTGAAAGAAATTAATTCAAGCAGAGAGGACAAACTGCTCCTGAGTCACACCAGCAAGTGGGGGAGCTACCAGACGCAGGTGTCCTGAAGCCGCTGACCTCTCAGGGCTGCAGAGATCCCAAGGCCTCCCAGCACCCTCTCCTCACCACACCACCTACTCGTTTCAGGCCTCTGTACCTGACAAAGGCATCAAACTGGGAAGAGACAGTGTGACCAACGATCCCAGGAGCTTTCCCAAACTGCAGCCGGACAAGCTGTTTGTTCTGCAGCTTGCTGATAATCCCATCATTGATGGGCAACCAGTCGATATTGGGAATGAGCAACTGGCTGGGCAGGAGGCAACATTCGTCTATCAGGGTATCATCTGGCTCTGTTATGTGATTTTCCTCACGACCTGCATGGAAAATGAAGCAGAGAGAAAGAACCAGCGTGATCCTTACATTTCTCATTTAGAGATCAGGAGAACTGCGTGCGGTTTCCTCCTCCACCCACCAACACAGCACAGAAAACAATAAACTTGGCAGCTGTACTTGCCCTTTCCAAACACCACAGACCCACTCAGAAGTTACTCCCCGCAATTATTCCTTTTCACACGCAATCCACATTACGGAAGGGTTTCTTTTGTTCAGGGCAACTGGCAAGTACTTACAGCACAGCCAGAGCTTAGTTAGGAGCCTGAAGAGGAGGGACATGCTGTCCTGGGTGTCGGAGGTTGCTGTGTAGACGGGGAGGCAGCTCGGCTTCAACAGTCCCCA